AGGGAGGGAGGGAGGGACGGGAAGAAAGGAGGACTGTCTTTGTGCTGGGAGCGGTGAGGCTGCACAGTTTAGTTTAGGAGAAGGCTTCGTGTTATTCTCATCTTACCCTTCCAGGGAGATGGCCCGTTGGAGAGTCACTGAAGGCTGGCGGGTTGCAGTGCTGTGTTGGGAATGACTGCAAGAAAAAAAAGGAAAAACAGAGATCATTTACTTAAAATGCCTTCACACATTCAAATCAGCCCTATTGTCAAGAAAATAACAAATCTTGAAACAAATACATTAGAGATTAAATGCTGTTTCTTCGGTGATAAGTAGAACCCCCTAAAATACAACATTCTACCAGATAAGAAATTACTATTTCCATATAATTTGATTCCAACATATACAACTCAAAAGTAAGCTTTAAATCACAGTGAGACATGAAAAGAAACAAACATATTTGGAAAAGATAATTTTTTCCTCTTGGAATAAGACAACATAGAGCATAAAAACAAATTGCATTATGATGCAATGTATTATTTTAGAGCAGAACATTTTTTTTCCAAGCCAAATTTTAAAAAGAGCAAATTTTCAAATTGAGGTAGTATTTAACTAGTAATAGTATGATAACAAAAAACAAAATTAGGGAAGCTTTATTGGTAGAAATCCCATTTCTTCTTTGAAATACCACTAAACATTGGTTTTTATTGTGCCACCATAAAGTTATTTTTTTAAGTTCAGGTGAAATAATTCAGGCATGAAAGTATTTTTTCTCTAAATAATGACTATTGTATACAACTTTTAACTAACGAATCAGTAACTGGCTCTGGCTGTGTGGGTTACAAGGAGTTCCACTGCATGAATGTCTAACAGGATTACTGCCCAGATATTAGTTCTCTTTATCCTTACAGAATATCCTGGGACACCTTAGAGTCTCCTCACAGAAGAGGCCTAGAGAGGTTACACTGCATGGCCACAGTGTGTTTAAACTGAGATCAGAACACAGATCCAATTCCCAGCCCCTGATTTTCCCTGTCCCATGCCACTGGCACTTATTCATATTCTCTGTGACCACAGTTCAGTAATGAAATGGTAGCCAAAACATCAGCCATTCTAAAAGTCTGCTCATCACTGTTAAGTAGCTGGGAGACCCTGAAGGTGCTCTACAAATGCTGGTCCAATCTCCATGAAAATTTCTTTGCTTAAAGCAATATTTTGCCCTCTGGGCTGAACCAAATGATATGTAACTGGTCCCAAAGCCTGAAACATAGGAGCAAAATGTAGTGTTTTAATAGAGCAGCACATTCCTGTCTTTTTTCATTTTGTTTTTGGATGGCTGACTGCACATCATTCTTCTTGACTTTTGGAGTATCCGGCTGCATCTAAGGAGGTCATGTATGATCATCTACCCAAAAGCATCATTCTACACAGTCAATTCTTTAAGGAAAGTATAGAACAACTTGTAATAGCTTAAGCCAAGTGTCAGCTAGCACCATGAATGCAGTTACTTCAAAAAGGAAAGACAATTTTAGTGAGGCATTTTACACAAAATACAGACAAGTACTCCCGAATGCACCAACAAGGAGAGAATTTGGAATGGGGAGGCTTTTGTACACCTGTTGTGATTCTAGGCATTTAATTGATATGATCCTGGGTATCCCTTCATTTCACACAGGAAACACATTTTTCAAGATAACACACTTTGGTTTTTGTTCTTTGACAACATCTGGGAAGCCGAGTTGTGTAGACAAAAGAGCAGAAATGTAGTTTCCCCCTCTGTGCTCCTAATGAGAGTTCAAGGGCCTGAGATAAGTCACCTTACCTGCCTGCTTTGTTCTGATTTTTTCTTCAGTCTGAATAAGAAACAACTGGTCCCATGCCCTCCGCATCTACTTTATTGATGGGAAGCAGTACAGATGCTCATCACTCACAGTGGGTTATGTCCCAATAAACCCATCATAAGTAGAAAATATTGTAAGTAAAAAATGCATTTAGTACACCTAACTTACTGAACATCACAGCTTACTTAGCCTAGCCTACTTTAAATGTTCTCAGAATACTTATGCTAGCCTACAGTTGGGCAAAATCGTCTACCATAATTAATACTCTGTAGAGTATTGGTTGTTCACCCTCATAACTGTGTGCCTGAGTGAGAGCTGTGGCTCTTTGCCACTGCCTAGCATCACAAGAAAGTATCTTACTATATATCACTGGCCTGGAAAAAGACCAAAATTCAAAATCCAAAGTATGCTTTCTACTGAATGAGTATCATTTTCATACCACACAAAGTTCAATAATCATAAGTTAAACCATCTTAAGTTAGGGACCATCTATACTGTCATGAGGAAGGGGCATGAGCTTGAGAGTTGATGGCTTTGTGTTAGGGATTTCTTACCCTTTCTTTCCTTTTTTCCCTTTTTAAAAAATATGTATTTATTGATTTCAGAGAGAGGAAGGGAGAGGGAGAGAGATAGAAACATCAATTATGAGAGAGTCATTGATGGTTTGCCTCCTGTATGCCCCCTACTGGGGATCAAGCCCACAACCCAGGTATGTGCCCTGACTGGGAATCAAACTGTGATCCCCTGGTTCATGGGTCGATGCTCAATCACTGAGCTATGCCAGCTGGGCCCCTTTCTAATTAGATACTCAACAACCTCAAAAACCAAACACTCTGTCTCTATTCCTGATATCAGTGTAACACAGGTAATAGTGCCTTCTCACAGATTGCTCTGAAGGGAAAAATAAAGCAACGTATGTAAAAGGAATTTTGTAAAGTATGAGGCATGGGGAGTATTAAGCAGAAATTACTTCCCAGGGAGGCAGTGTGATTTGGTCATAAGGTGTCTGAAACTAGTGACCTGAACTTGAACTAACCAATGGAACTAAGGAAGAAAAATATGGCTAGAGCTAAGAAATATCAAGGAAATGGAATCTATAGGATTTAGCAATTGCATGTGGGGGATGAGTAAGGAGTCAAGGACAACTTCCATGTTTCTGGCTGGGATGACTGGATCAATAATGGTACTTCAAAGTGAGAAAAGAATATGAATATAGTAACAGGTTTGGGAGGAAGAGAATTATTTTAACATTGTATATATGGTGAGTTGGGGAACTTGTGTGACATCATGGTAGAGATATCTCATAAGATAGTTAGATATCAAAATTCAATTTCAGTAGAGAGTTCTGGGATGAAAAAGTACACTTTGGAGCCAACATAGTATGGGTGCATTTAAAGCCATGGGTATTCCTAAAAAGACTGTGATGAAAAAAGCTGAAAGCTGAGATGGAGGCCTGGAGATAACCAGCATTCTAAGATGCACAGAGAAAGCTAAACCTGGAAAGAAAACTAAGAAGAAGTGAGTGCAGAAGTAGAAGGAAAACTAAGAAAATATGAGGTAATGTCAGCTAACAATGGAAGCAGGGAGAGAGTTTCAAAGAGAGTTTGGTCAACAGCTACCAAAGACTTTAAAGAGCTTAAACATGAAACAAGGGAAAACAGGTCACTGAAGTTTGATTATATTCTGTAGGTAAAGAGTAGCTCATGAACAATTTTAAGCAATATTAAAACATAGTCATTTCGTAGTTTAGAATGAGCCTCCATAATCCCTAGATATAGAAAAGGGTTAAAGAAAGCCAAGGAGCTATAAGAGGAAGCTGATCATAAGAACACTGGGTATGAATACAAAGCTTTCTGTCCTACAATCATTAGAGGCCAGTCCTCAAAGAATTTTTCTGTAGAACAAATGGAATAATTACTTTTCCCATGTCAAATGAGCGTAGACAGAAAAAAAAATTAAAAAATGGAGACCTATGCCTCCTATAATGCCATTGAGTTCTATTTTTAATGAAGAATTGCTCTTATTCTGCAATTTAGTTGCCTTATTGATCTTCATGTAGACAGCTGGAACATCCAAATAAATGTGGGTTGCTTGGCCTGGTGAAATCTATTAGTTTGTATGACTGTCACGAAAAAGCCCAGATGTGTAGCAAAAGGGAAACTGTTTTACTTGACATCTGGAGTCTGGATCCTCCTCACAATGGTCACCACAGAGAAGGTATCACCATCTTTGTACTCACAAATGAAACTAGTAAAAGGCAAATTGTTCATTTCCCTCCACTCTTCACAATTTATATGCCCAAGTAAGAACTGCCTTTTCTAATATTCTCCCTTGGTTGACTATGTTCAAGGTAGAGATGTGGTCATTGGTTCAGCTAAGGTTTTACTTATTACTAGAACTAAAAATCTGGACACTGAAACCCAGTGTGATAAAGTGCAATGCTTTCTAAGTCTCTCTCTTAAANGTGTGATAAAGTGCAATGCTTTCTAAGTCTCTTTCTTAAAAAAAAAAAAAAAAAAGTCTTTATTGATTTCAGAGAGAGGAAGGGAGAGGGAGAGAGAGAGATAGAAACATCAATGATGAGAGAGTCATTGATCGGCTGCCTCCTGCACGTGCCCTACTGAGGACCGAGCCCCCAACCTGGGCATGTGCCCTGACTGGGAATCGAACAGCAATCTCCTGGGTCATAGGTTGATGCTCAACTGCTGAGCCACGCCAGCTGCGCCTTTCTAAGTCTCTTAATGTAGATCTTAATTTGGTCAGTGAAGTGAAACTAACACCAGCAGCAAATCCTTTCTATATGAAAAAATGCTTGCTTTCCTCAGGGATTAATTTCCAGGACAAAGGAATGTGTTTTGCTGCTGTTGTCTTTTTGTTTGTTTTTTTAGTCTTTAAGGCTATGAAAAGCTTGATAATACTTAGCATTCATAGTCATTGGGCTATCAATGTAAGAAAAATATCAAATGTAAAATATCCATATAAAAGTATCAAAACACTAAAATGCTTTGACTTGGGATCTTAATGACAAACTTACAAATGAAGGAAATTGAATATTTATCCTCATTAATGAAAAATGATTTTCTTAGCATCTAAATTGGATGCAAGTTACAACTCCGTCAAGATGCAAGTGAGAAGATTTGAAAGGGCATAAACTTTTAGACCTAGATAGCTTTCTTCTTCACATTTCTTAATATCTGCAAAGAATTTAACAGGCCAACATTTTAGTATAGTTCATTAACATATCAGAAGGCTCACACATCAATTCTCTATACCTCAATTTTCCAATTGCCTCATCAGCCAATACGCAACAGTACCCACAGTGTGCAAAGTATATGCCTCATGTAATAACAATAAC